GCCTAAGATCCTACTCACACGCCGGGATGGGGCGTACACCAACGTCCAGCTTCTCATGTACGCTCCACCATGGGTTGCTACCCCACTTACGCTCCCGAGTAGACCTAACTGCCGAAAGTTTGGCCAACAATTCCTTACTGCTTTGTACTCGCGCCTCTCCAATCGAAAACAGTGCATTGTGCGTGCCGCACATCTAGCTCCGCAGTTTTTGCGTGGTTGGTCTGGTCGTTCAGCTTGCTCGACGTGAGTAATAAGCTTTGCGTTGATGGCTCTATGTTTTATTGATCCACTTCAAGCAACGAACACCCCCCCCCCATCACAAATCACCTGTAAGGGTCAGTATGTGTCTATCCTCATTCAACGCGTCTACATGTCTGGCAAACTCAAAAACCAAAGCATCTGTGAGGTTTCAGTATGCAGCTATCCCCACTCAACCCGTCCATGTGTCTGGCAATCTCAAACCTCACTCAACCCTTGGGGTTTCAGTATACAGCTATAATCACTCAACACGTCTATGTGTCCGGCAATCTCCTACACCACTCAACCTGTGAGGTTTCCGTAAGCTATCGTCACTCCACGCATCCATGCGTCACGCGTCTTTGGTAGCGCATACTATGGGGGCTATATTTGGGGTGGCCTGTTTTACAGCGCTTTGACAACAGCGCCAACACACTGAAGTCTAGAACAGGGGGGGGGGCAGATGGGGAGGGGTGGGCTAAGTCATTGGTTGCTTCGATGCATACCGCAGTTCTATGGACACCGAAGTTCTATGCACACCGCTACGACACGACAAACCACGGGAAATACCGTGTGCAACGATACCCCGACACCCACTTTCACGTGGATCATTCATTTCCAGCCAGCTCCCACGGAATTACCGTCCAAACCACTTTTTGCACGTTGAACCTTACCAGCCGGCCGCTCCTTTTGCGCTCCGCCCCCGCCTTATGATCACGTCCGTTGTCCTGGTCCCGACCTTAGGGTTGTTGTCTGCCCTTTCGATCAACAACATCTCTGGGCGGACCGACGACGCGCTGGCTGAACAACCAACGGGGGGTGCGGCGTGGCTCATTTTTTTTTTATTTGTCGTCATTTTTTTTTTTTCGCAGGTGGAAGGGCGGCAAGATCAGGGTGGGCTTCGCCAAGGGCGACTACCTGCAGCGCCTCAAGGCCGAGTGGGATGCCGCCGCGAAGAAGAAGGAGGAGGCGTCGGCAGCGACAGCGACGGCGGCGGGTGGGCCTAGCAAGACCCCCGTGCCTGCGGCCGTGGCCTACAAGGCACGACCGTTTCTCAGGCTTAGACGGAGGCCCGGTGAGCATGGGTGGAAGCGGTCATATGCATGCCGTATTTCACCGCTTTTTTTTTGTTCAATATTTTTTTTTGCATACCATGTTTTGTGGACAGCAAGCTGGGAGGCTCGGGAAAAGAAAACGCTCGTACCGGCGTTGTGAGCGGGTAGGTACATGAAGGTGGGTACATGAACGCCTCCTTATTCCCAAAACTTTGTCGTCGGGTTTTTCTTTTCATGTGCTTTTTTCTCTGCTGGCTCTTAGAGGAGCCGGCGGGTGGTGCTATGGTTGTCTGTCCACACCAACACGAGAGAGGTTGGCCGGTGTGACTGAAGATTTCACCATGCGCCGCTGACATGATGATGATACAGCAACAGAGGCCCCCTATTCATGTCTGCATTGTTCCGCCAAGGGATGTGGACTTATTCCGCGTGTTTCATCCGTGTCAAACGCGCGATTTCACCGGCCTTGTACAGAGGACACCGGCCTTCCTTTCCAGGCCTTTTACAAGGGCCACGCTCATACAGGGAGCGCTACACCCCCGCTCTTCTTGCGAAAGTATTGCGTGCCATATGGTCTGGCCATGGTACCCCCGGCTGATGATGATCCGACGGTACCCCCCGAGTGATGATGCCACGGCGCCCCCGACTGATGGTGCATCTACGGTACATACCCCTGAATGATGATGCGTCGGTTCCCCGGACTGACGATGATTCCACGGTGCCCCTCGGCTGTCTCGCCGCATTCTGAACGCGTTTTAACGGTGCGAGTTGCGCAGGAGAGCGCGTTGTTCTGGTTGACCCCACGCCCATCGCCTGGGCCAAACCAAGCCGGAAAGATCCCAGGGCTTGGAACAAGAAGGAGGAAGAGGGGGGAGAGGGAGGGGGGGACGGCGGAGCGCACAGGCGCAAGAGGGGCGTGCTGGGGGGCCGGCGGAGGGTAGAATTCCCGGGAAGGGAGGCGACGTGCTCCACCAAGTGTCGGGAGCTATGGCGGAGACATTTACAGGTGTGATGACGACGTCCCATCATGCGACATGCATGTAGCAGCCTTCGAAAGTTGTGTGGCGAAGTGCGGTGGCCGCGCGAGAAGGCCCTCCCCGCCTTTCCGAAGAACCGGTGTCTTGGTGGTGTTGCTGTGGCAGAGGTAGTACGTTAATAATGGCAGCACAGACCAGAGATATGCTCAGGCCAGTTGTTATGGATTTTTTTTCCGATTTGGAAGCCGAGGGATTGACAGAAAATGCTTAACCACTCCCAAAAAGCAGGAGTTCTGCGCACTAGATAGGGTAGCAAGCAGAGGGCACCAAGGCACTTCGTCACTTCGTCCTCGCCTCACAAGACCGCTGTTCGTTATCAAACCGTCAAGGCTATATACTCCACTGCTGTTAGCTTCTCGGAGCCAAGTTTAAGCAGCCAGAGCGGATGTGTGCGCAGAGTATGCCTCAGATATAGATGCAATTTCACCGTTTCGAGGTTGGAATTTATGAGGAATTCCAACCAGGATCGTCCAACATTTCCAAGTTAGAATTCCGACGTTAGCAAACATGATGAACACACACTGCACGCCAGCTTTACAAACTTGGCTCGAAGAGGCTCATAACAATGCACTGTGCGGCCTGGAAGGTTTGATTGCAAACGGATCTCTGCGAGGCGAGTACTGAGTGCCAAATCGCGTTTTGTGTGGTTTTCCAACGAAGTGCGCAGAACTCCTGCGGCCTCATGTGGGTTTGGATGTAAAAAGCGTAAAAATCGGGATTCAAAATCGGAAAAATTCTTCAGAACAACTGACCTCAACTCAAGCCTATGTAACAACACCAACATGAACACACCCGCCAGCATGCCATCGCCCCCCCTGCCCCCCCAGTGATGCGTCAAATAGTCCCCTCTCCTGGCCACTCCTGGTGCAAAAACGATTCTTTTTTCTTCTTCAGGAACGGGCCGCTGAGGCCAGCGCCGCAAGACTGCGCTCGGTGGACCGGTTGATATCAGGGCAGGGGGCGTCGGCTTCCGCAGTAGCAGCGGAAGAGGCAGGAGGAGAGTTGGCGGTGCCGAACGGAGAGGCGTTGTCGAGGTCGAGGGAGGCGACACAGCAGTCCGCGACGGCGGAATATCTACCGGTTGAAGGCGCGGCGGATCTGGGGCCGGAAGAACCCCCCCCTTCGGTAAGGGCCTCCTCCGCGGGTTGTTATTGTTGTTGTTTTCGTGTTGGGGGTTTCGTTGTTTATCGTTCGCCGGACTCCACAGCAGAAAGTTTTCACCCCGAAAGCCCCTCTCTTTTTTCTATCTTGTGTCTTTTTTTTTTGTTTCTCTCCCTCTCTCCCTCGCTCTCTCTGTCTCTCTGTCTCTCTGTCTCTCTGTCTCTCTGTCTCTCTGTCTCTCTGTCTCTCTGTCTCTCTGTCTCTCTCTCTCCCTCTCTCTCTGTCCCTCGACATCCTCTGTGATACACGTGGGGGAGCTTGTTGCTCGGCAGCAGCAGCAGCAGCAGCAGCAGCAGCAGCAGCAGCAGCAGCAGCGGCAGCAGCAGGAGTGGTAGTAGACGCGTCAACTGAAGTTGTCGCGCTTCGTTTTTCGAAAGAAAGCGGTCGATCCCTTGCTTCCTTACGGCACCGCCACGCACTTCCATCTTTGTGTTGGCCCTTGGTGCTGAGATTCCTCGACCGGCAAGTCACGCGAATCAATCTTATCCTCCCACCCCGCCCCTGTCTCCCCCTGTTTGCGACGCCTCCTCTGCCACCCGAAGGGCGCCGCACTTCCAGCCCCGGCTGTATCGACCCCTTGCTAGCCCTTGCATTTGGACAACAATCCCGAGGAAAATTTTCGGGAAAAATCGCCGGCGCTATCAATCATTGTTCGCTGGGCCGGTTGCGCCTACGCCTGCCGACCGTTTTATTCGGGTAAAAATCGCCTGTAGGCATCGCTGAGAACCCGCGTTGCTGTTTGTGCCGCCTCTTTTCCCGGTGCTACGCCAGGAGGGGATTGAGTTCGTGTGGGACGATGCTGCCGAAGAAGGGTCGGGGAGTGGCGACGGCGTTGCAGAGGTAGGGGGGGGGGGGCAGACTCGACAAGAGCAGTGACCCCGAGCTTAATCTGCGGGAGGAAACACGTGAATGCTTGTACTGTACCCCCTTTTTTTTTTTTCGCTGGAGCCATCGGTGGCTTGTTGGCCATTGGTTGCTTGGTTACATGGTGCACGCCTACCGTAAGGATGCGAGAGAACGCACGGGGGTTGCGATCGATTTTTAAAGCGTATTTTTCCCACAAGCAGGAGGGTACCACTGTCGAAAAGGGTGGTTTCGGAAATATCTCATCGAGAGCTTTCCTGAGAGGTATTATTAATAGTTGGCGCTCTCACCCTCCTGGTTGGGGAGAAATTACGCTTTGAAAATCGATCGCACCCCCCGTGCGTTCTCTCGCATCCTTACGGTAAACGTTGTTGATATACCATTAAATATACCATGTTGTATGTGCTGCTTTCGTTTGTTGTGTGCAGTACAGTATTGGTGTTACTCTGTTGCCGCGTGCAAGACCACCGTGTGCCGTTGTTCACGGTTTAATGCCCCCCCCCGTCGCCTCACCCAATACTCGCAAACCGGCACCTCGATACATGCATCAAATTGGCGGTTTTGAAGAGCGTAATCGTACCGCCGCTAGAGTACGCCGGAGAAGTATGGGAAGGAAATAACAAGCTAGTGAAAGAACTCGAGGCGGCGCAGATGAAAGCAGCGAAAATCATCCTAGGATGCTCCAAGCGCACAAGTTATGCAGCCGTCAGGGCAGAATTGGGGATCCAATCCCTACGGTCGGGAAGAGACGCGAGGAAGCTGACATGGCAGTATCGCATGTGCGGGATGGGATAGGAGAGGTTGCCGAGGATTGTATGGGAGGCGAAGTGGGCAAACGAAAAGAGGGGTAGACAACCCACGGAATGGGTCAAGGTTGTAGAGGACGTCTGGAAGGGGCTCGACATCGACGAAGATGAAACGCTGGAAACGGAGGGTCTACAGGGGTTCAAGGAGAAGATGTATGTTGCTTGTGCCGAGAGAGAAGAACAGAATCTAAAGATATGATCCAAGGATAAGGAGGATCTAGAAGTGTGCAGAATGTTGAAGGAAGAAATAGGTTTCAAGGATTACCTACATGGACCAATGGATGCAGGAACAAAGCTTACGGTCAAATTCAGGACCGGGGACATAGGCCTTCGAGAACGTCGACGAAGACATAGGACGGTAGACGACGAAGACGACGAGTTCAAATGTGA